ATTAATTAGAAAAATAAAATTATTTATCAACTAATATATTTATATTTCAAGTAGTTATATGATATAAGTTATAAAAGCTAATATAATATAACACATGTAAGTCATAAGTAATACATATCATTCTAAAATATAGTAATATACTTTTTTGTAAAAAAGTAAACCAAATTAAATATAGTTTTCTCATTAATTTTAAAATTTAAGAATAATTTTTTAACAAGAACCCGTGTAATACACGGGTATTGTACTAGTATATGTAGGGTTGTTTGAGGGAAAAATCCAAAATTTTAACAAAGCTAGCCTAATTCAATGGGATATATCAAACTGAAAATCTGAATTTATCTATAACATATTTACACGAGAATATCTGCCCTTGTAGTGCACGCAAACGCAATATTAATAAAGCATATTGAATTTGGGCTAAACAAATAAATTTGAGGGAGAATATATAGATGTATAATACACAACAAATGTTATTTAGCATTATAATTATTAATATATGTATGTATAATTGCTGACGTAATAAAATATAATAAATAAAATATAATAAATTTTACATATGTGGCATTTTCTCTCCGATAACCATTACAATCCAAAATTATTATTATTATTATTATTATTTTATGATATATATGTACAATTTATGGTATAAAGTGGGCAATTTTATTTTTTTATGAACTATCTGAATTTAAATAGTATAAAATTTATTTTGGACAGAAATGTATTCGAAAATTTAGAAAACAATATTAGTATAAATTTTATTCGGTATAGGTATGAAATTCGACGCAATGGACTAGATCAAAATGTCTCAATTACATTCTAGTGCTTCTTTTATTAGTGAAGTTTTTAAAAAAATAAATATATCAAACGACGCAATGCACCTTGGGTCGTTACGGAAACAGCCTCCTTGTATGATTACAAGGGTAAGGTCTACGTACAACTGACCCCCCAGACCCCAACCAGTTGGGAATATACTGGGTATGTTGTTGTTGTTGTTGTATAGGTATGAAATTCGAATTTTAGGATGATTTGTTATAAAATCAAGATGATATGATTCTCAAATTTTAGCATATTTTCATAATAACTTGTCATAACATATTGATGATAATTTCGACAAATTGGTATACATTCCTCGTGAAAAACAGAAAAAAAAATGAACAAATATTGGTCACTAAAATAAAAATTTGTATTTTATTCTAAAGTATTAGTTGATAAATTTGAACTATAAGATAACCGACAACAAATCTAAAAAATGGCGATATAATATGTATATATATATAAGAGAATTTGCTGTATAGTCCAAATTTAAGTTTCAAATTTAAAAGTCAAATAAGTAATCATTCATAAATTACGAGTCAATATTAAGTTGGACATAAATGGAATAATCAATTATTTATAGTTAAATAAATTACTCAATTACTTAAATTTTTTTATTTGAATAGGTTATGCAAAAAATATATCTATCTATACTTATATAAAGAGACATTCTTATTACTAAAATTAGTATCAAAAAAATAGGTCCGCATTTAATGCAGCCATAAATAGTAATTTTATTATTTTTCTTATTTTTTCTTTAAAAATCATACAATTTAATTTCTAAAGACGCTTTAATATAATCATACAATTAAATCATACAATTTAATTTATAAAAATCAAACAATTTAATTGTTTTCTTTAAAAATACGTTTTAATATACATACATACATATACATATAATACTTTTTGTAATAAATTTGAATAAAATGTGTTACTTAAATATCTAAACAATTTAAAAATTCAAATATTTAAATTAATTGATATATAATTCATAATCTTTGTTTTATTTAATATGTAATTTATTTAAAATACTTTTAAATATAGCCAAATTTATTTAGAAAATCGTATCAATTCTTAATTCAACCGACTGGTGTTGACAGATTCAATAGCAAATATTTTATTCAAGTGAACTAGACTGATTATAAATTGATTTTCGGTCCATCCGGTCGGACTGTGTCCAACACGGTTTAATTTAAAAACGATGAGTAAATCTTGATTAATTTATTTGTATATTTAATTTATAACACAATCGTAATATTGTTTTCCCGTGCATCGCACGGGCCACACACTAATTCATTTTAATTAATGAAACAATATAAGTTTTATAACTACACTTATTATTCACTTAGATGTTTAAATATATGATAAAACTTGACCAAAATAATTATTTTATTATGAAATCACATAATAGTCAAATAATTTTTGAATAAAAATTTAAGATGACACTTATTTTAAATGAATATAATGTAATTTATTACCACTTACGTGCACCGTACAAGTTGTATACTAATTTTAAATAGACATGTTTATGCAATTCTTCATATTTAAGTTTCATATATCATTTTCAATAAATTAATATAGTGTATTACATATTTACTCCATACTTTTAATATATAATATTATTTAATGAGTATTTGTAATGTATAAATATTAATGAATATTTTTTACTTGTGCATCGCACGGAATTCGTACTAGTAAGAAAGAAAAAACACAAAATCCCAACACTTCTATGTAGAGAAGGAAGTTTAACTCAAAACTCAAATAGTCAAAAACAAAATTTAACCAAGCCAACTGAAGGGCAAAATAGTTCAGGAATGAAATTTGAATCCTCAACTGGAGGTCAGTGAATTCTTCGATTTTCTCCTGCTTCCTGCTTCACCGAATCGCTCGTTCCATTCTCTCAGCTCGACCAAACTGCTCGACTCATACGCAACCGAGGGACCCACCTGCAATATTATTCATACAATAAATTAGAGAATAACAAATGTTGGACCCATGTACTTACTGATCAGTATTTACTCGACTTTTGTTTTCAAGTACAAAACATAAACCGACAGTTGTTCCCAAGTAATCAATAACTGGTTATACAAACAAATAGTTTGTGTTGTAAAGTGTGTAAAGAGCTTAAATTTTAGGCTCATATAGCTTTGTCCTAACCTAACAGATACAAATCTATGCATGCAGAGACCTTTTGTACGCTTTCTATAGTTTCAAATGAATTTACATACCGTGTCCATGGAATTAATAAAGTCTTCGAGCTTCAGAGGTCTTAATGCTGAATCTCCATCTTTCTTGTCACCCTGTAACTGAGGACAAAATGCTAATTTGTGTTTTTAATGTTTTACGCATGCATAGTTATTACACATGTTTGTTTGTTGAAAGATCATATATAACAAAAATAAAAACAGTCTATCAATATCATATATATGTCATCAAGCAACAAAAGACAAAAGTCAAATACTCCATGATTTCAACCTTAACATATCATCCATTAACAAAAAAATCTTAAAAGTACTAGAATAGTCATAAGAAGATCGGTATAGTGTTTACTTTGCTTTCTTGTTCAAGTCGTTCTTGGACAGGCATATATGCAGCAGCCACACACAAATTCTGGGAAAAATTAAAAGACAAATCTTAGACATCAGTAGGAATCACAATATCTATAGCCATTAATGCAAACTCGATGCACATTTACCTTTAAGTCGCTCCCGGAATACCCCTCAGTAGCCTCTGCGAGTTTTTTTATATCAAACCCAGATTCCAGAGCCTCTTTGGCTAGAAGTATGTCCAGTATTTTCAATCTATTTTTCACATCTGGTAGGTCAACAAGAATCCTATGAGCAATCAAGGATATTCTGTCAGGCTCAACATTCATGTCAATAAA